TTTATAGTTTTAGCTGGTACGTTTAAAAACTTTGATCCATGGAGTTATTTTGTCTATTGTATAAGTAAGCATCCACCTCAGTCTTTTGCATATTGATACCCAATTATCTCAATACCATTTGTTGAGAAGACTGCCCTTTCTTCCACTGAATGGTCATGGCATTCTTACTGAAAATCATTAGATCATATATGCAAATGTTTATTTCAGGGCTCCCTAATTTTTCCCACTGGAAAATTTCAGTTTTCTTATTTTGTTATTTTGTTTCCCAAGTAATATATCAATTTTCAAGAAGATACAAAAGGGCATTGGAGTAAAATTCCATATTTTTATCTTAGCTTCTATTAAATACAAGTAAGAATTCAAAAATTTTCTTTAACTGCCCATAATTGTAAAGAAAATAATGTTGATGGAGGACATTTTACAATTCTTAATCAGACAAATGCAAAGAAACAGAGAACACTATCCTCTAATGGTGATGCAGATATTAATCATGTTAATTAAATCTCATAGTACAACTCTTCAGATAATGATATCAAAATTTTCCTTCAACTCAATAATTAATGCTTAAAAAGAATATTTCTAATGGCAAGCAAGAAATATGGTATTCTCATCCAGTTATCTTCAGCAACCAATATTTTATCACAGATATTTGTAACATTCCTTATTGTAAACAAGGATCTAGGATAATATTCTTTCATCTTTTACTGTATATGGACATGAACATTTATTTGATATGGTTCGCCAGTGGACAAAAGTGTATGCAAAGTTGAATGGAAGGAGTTAGATGATGTAGGAGTGATCAACATTGTGATTAATCATTTTAATTGGTGTTTATATCATAAAATAAAAATATATTCAATTATAGTGCAACATCATTTACAATCGATAAAAAGAAAATGAAATAACAAATATGAAATAATAAAATATGCAGAGTATCTGATGAAAATTACAAAATCTGGTGAAGGAAATCAAAGAAGGCCTAAATAAATGGAGAAACATACTGTGTATTATTGGAAGATTTAGTAATAAAAAGCAAAGATGTAAAATCTTCCTAAATTGATCCTTAGGTTTAACATAATTTATAACAGCATTATTTTTCAATAACATAGACAAGTTTACTCTAAAATGTTATGGAAAGGAGACTCTAGGGTAGCCAAAACAATTTTAAAAAATAATATAGTAGGAGGAATCACTTTTCCCAATGTTAAAAATTACTGTACAACAACAATAATAAAAACATCATAGCAGTGGTGGAGAAAATGACACATAAAGCAATGGAAAACAGTATAGATAACTGAAAAATACACCAACGCAAAAATGTCCAATTAATTTTGTTTATAATGTGAAAAAACAATTCAATGAATGAAGGTAGTTTTTTTCAAGGAATTATGGTGGAGCATTTGGATACCCATTAATCAAAATGTTAATCTATCACCTTTTACAAAAAGTAACTCAAAATAGATCCATAGACTTAAAAGTTAAGACACAAAACTAACACCTTTTAGAAACAGAGAGGGAGGGATGCAAACCATAAGAGACCCTTAAATACAGAGAATAAACTGAGGGTTGATGGGTGGTGGGGGAGAGGGGAAAGTGGGTGATGGACATCAAGGAGGGCACTTGTTGGGATGAACACTCGGTGGTGTATGTAAGCCAATTCGACAATAAATTATGTTAATAAATAAATAAATAAAATAGAAATATGGCAGAAAGTTTGGGATTTAAGGTTAACAAAGAGTTCATACACTTGACATCAAAAGCATGATTGAAAAATGAAAAAAAGTACAACTTATCAAAATGAATATATTTGTTAAAAAATTGGGTCTGCAAAAAATAATTATAGAATTGAAGAAAATATGTTAAGATTACATATCCAACAAAATACATGTACCTAGAAAATTTTTTAAAAATCTGAAAACTCAACACTTAAAACTCACAATTTAATTAGAAAATGGGCAAAAAATATGAATAGATTTTTCACTGAAGAGGATATACAGATGCCAAATAAGCATCTTAAATATATTCAACATCATTACCTATTAAGGAAGTGCAAAATGAATCCATAATGATATTAATACATAGCTAACAGACTGGCTAAAAAAAGTGATATCATCAAATGTTGGCAAGGATGCCAATAAACTGGTCATTCATATGTTATTGGTGGGAATGGCAAATGTTACAGCCACTCTGAAAATAGTTTGGTAGTTTGCATCTAAAACTATAAATTACTTATCATGGACCCAGTAATTTAATTCTTGGGATATTTCCTAGGGAATTAAAAATTTACTTTCATGCATAATTTTCTATACAAATTATCATTTCATATCTATTCATAATAGCTATAAATTGTCAAACACCCAAATGTACTTCAGTGAGTAAATAATTTGACATATTTTGATACATCCATACAAAGGAATACTAGTCATCAAAAGAAATAAAGTATTTATAAATGCAACAACTTGGATGCAATCATGAAAATTATTCAAAAGAAAGAAGCCAAACTCCAAGAGATACAAATTCTGTGATCCCATTTATGTAACATTCATGAAATAATATAACTAGAGAGTGGTTTAGTGGTTGCCATGAGTTAAAATTGGCAGAAAGAAGGGATCAGTGTAGCTATATAAAAAGGTATTATTAGGGTCCATATAGTGATAATAGAGTTCTGTATCTTGATTGTGGTGGTGGTTACACAAATATGAACACGTGGTAAAACTGCATAGAACTAAATACACACACCTGTGCACTCACACACACATATATACATCCACAAATGAGTGCATGTATACTGGTGAAATCTGGATAAGGTCTGTACGTTTTATTAATGTCCGTTTCATGGTTTTGATATTGTACTATAGTATTGAATCATAGTAACACTGATGGAGGCTGAGTAAAGAGTACAAAGGACTTCTCTCTGCATTTCTTTTTGTGAATCTATAATTACTTCAACATAAAAAGTTAAATGGAAATCACAATGGAACATCACACATCTAAAAGTGGCAACACCAAACAAAACCAAAATATTGACAATATCAAATGCTTGTGAAGTGTGGATCATCTATGCAGAGAAACTGGAAATCTCATAGAGAGAATAGAGAGAGAGAAAAAAAGTGGTACAGCCACTTTGGAAAATAGTTTGGCTGTTTCTTATAAAATTAAAAATACACTTACTGAAATAATGCACTTAGTAAATGACTCAGCAGTTTCACTCTTAGATACGTATCCCAAAGAACTTATATATATATATATATGTGTATGTGTGTGTGTGTGTGTGTGTGTGTGTGTGTATATACACAAAGCTTATGTGCACATGTTCATAGTAGCTTTATTCATAATAGCCAAAATCAAGAAACAACCAAAATACCTTACAATGGCTGAATGTATAAGCAAATTATATCTTTTCTATGTAGAAGCCTATTGAATAATAAAAGAATGAACTCTTAAAACATATGGCAACAGGAACTGATCTCAAAGGCATATGTACTTAATATGACATTCTGGAAAAGGCCAATCTATAGGGACAAGAGCAGGTAATTGGTTGCCAGGAATTGGCAGTGGGGGAGGAATACAAAGGGAAATCCAGGGGAAGTTCCGAGGTGTTGGGAACAAAAGCCTGTGCTTTTTTTTTTTTCAATATCCATTGAACTGTATACCACAGAGTGAATGTTACTGTATAAAAACTTTGAAAAACCACATATGCTTAATAAAAACAAAATATTAAGAGCTGATGGCTGATTTTTTTCAAAATTTTCAAAAATATATCAATGTATAGATTTAAGAATCTCAGCCAACCAAAGCAGGATAAAATTCAAAGAGAAACACATATTGGTAAACCATAGTGAAACTGTTGAAAATCAAATATATAAAATATGTCTGAAACTCAGACAAAGAATAAAAGAAACATATTATTGGGATGAATGATACAATAGATACTGTATTCTCATCTGAAAATGTAAGCCAGGATACAAATGGGTTACATCTTTGAACTACTGAAAGTAAAACTTCCCAATGTAGAATTCTACTTCCAGTGAAAATACACTTCACAATTTTAGACATTTTTATAAAAACATTTTGAAGATAAAAACCGAGGCCATTGGTCACTGCAAGGTACAAATAAAAAGAAACACAAAAGGAAGTTTTTCAGTGTGAAAAAATATGATACACATGGAAATCTGAATGTACTGGAGGAGTTAAAAAGCCCCCTGAAAACAGTAAATGGATGAGTAAATGTAAATATTTATATTAAAAAAATCTTTAACATTCTATTAGCTACTTAAGCAAATATAATAATGTATTGTCAGGTTAACAACACATACACACACACACACACACACACACACACACACATATATATTATTACAAAAGTGCAAATGATGGAAAGACATTAATGGAATTATACTGTTATGAGATTTTTACATTTTAATATTTAGAAAAAACAAATATGCTTTATTTGTTCATGAAGGTTCACCAAATAAATTTTAAAATGTTTCATACCATTTACTATCCATATACTATGGATATAGATTTTATTATCTTTACCTTTCAATAGTATGGTTAACTAAAGATGCAAACTCATTTGTGAATTAGCACATCACAATAGTTAACATCCTTGGAATATATAAATACATAATAAAACTATCACCTGTTCTGTACTTTAACCATACCTATCTAGAAAACTCTGCCGTATAAACAGAAATGTTTTGGGAACCATGGTTAAAATTAAAGGGCTATTAGCATGCTCACTCCTTGATTGGAACTAAAAAGTATATACAAATTTTCATTGACAACATGATCTAAAGCTGTACTGTTATAGTTGCCACTAGCCACAAGCGGCTACTTAAATTTAAGTTAAATAAAGTAAATAAAGTAAAATAAAATGGAAATTATAGTTCTTTAGTTGCACTATCCACATGTCAGTTACTCAATAGCCACATAATCAGTGGAGACCATTTCTATAAGTACATAAAGCTCTACTGAAGCACACTCATCTAGATACTAACCCTCTGGAAACCAATACCCATCATTATAACTTCCTCCTGGTGATGATGGTTTTAGATAACAATTTGGAGGAGAATATCCAACATCACAGTGACAATTAAACCTATTATTGCAAACCTAAAATCAAAACCAAACAAAAAAAAAGAGAACATTTTATGTACAAGATAAAAATTAAGTGCATTATTTGTGTCTGTTAGATAATATGTTATTAAAATATGATAATTTCACATATTATAGGTAGTTTTAATGGTATTTTCATGCAGAAAGTAATTTTTAAAATAAAATCTAACATAAAAAATGTCAATGCAATATCTTTTCAATGTCATGGATATTTCCATTTATTAGTCACTTGTGTTTTTAAATAAAAATAGGTAACATTATGATACAACTGAAATGCATTCTTCTAAAAAACTATAGAAATTGTAAAGCTAGAAATTATAAAATGGTGGGAGTTGACATATAATATGAATTGTGTTAGATTAAAAAAAAAATACTTGTGACAAGAGGGAACTTTTACCAAAATGATGGGGGAAAACAAAGAGGAAAAAGCATGCTTAACCAGAAATAGATACAAATGTATTTGTTAGAAATAGGAAGGCTAGAAAATATCTATAAATGTGATCTCGTGGATGAATCGAAAGGGTCACAGCTAATATCATCGTCAATGGGGAAAAAAACTGACAGCCTTTCCCGTAGTGTCAGGAACAAGACAAGGATGTCACTCTCACCATTACTGTTTAACATAGGACTGGAAGGGTTAGCCTCAGCAATTGACAACAGAAAGAAATAAAGGCATACAAATCTGCAAGGAAGAAGTCAAACTTTCACTATTTGCAGACAACATGATACTCTATGTAGAAAACCTGAATGATTCCAACAAAAAATTGCTATAACAAGTACATAAATTCAGCAGTCACAGGATAGAAAATCACTGTGCATAAATCTGTTGCATTTCTATACACCAATAGCAAAGAAGCAGAAAGAGAAATCAAGGAATCAATCCCATTTGTAATTGTACCAAAAAACAATAAGACACCTAGGAATAAGTCTAACTAAAGAGGTAAAAGATCTATCTTCTAAAAACTATAGAACACTTGTGAAAGAAATTGAAGAGGACACAAAGAAATGGAAAAGTATTCCATGCTTGTGTACTGGAAGAACAAACATTGTTAAAATATCTATACTACCCAAAGCAATCTACACATTTAATGTAATCCCTATCAAAATAACACCAGCATTTTTCATGGAGCTAAAACAAACAATCCTAAAATTTGTATGGAACCACAAAAGACTCCAAATAGTCAAAGCAATCCTGAAAAAGAAAAACAAAACTGGAGGCATCACAATTCCAGATTTCAAGCTATATTACAAAACTGTAGCCATCAGGACATAATGGTAGTGGCACCAAAAACAGACGTATAGATCAATGGAACAGAATAGAAAACCCAGAAATTGACCCGCAATTATATGACAACTAGATTGCCAACTAATCTTTGACAAAATAGTAAAAGTATATTCAATGGAAAAAGTCTCTTCAGCAAATGGTATTGGGAAATCAGACAGCTAAATGCAGAAGAATGAAACTGGGCAACACTTTCTTACACCATACACAAAACAAATTCAAAATGGATGAAAGACCTAAATGTGAAACAGGAAACTATCAAAATCCTAAAGGATTTTGAAACCTCTTTGACCTTGGTTGGAGCAATTTCTTACTAGATGCTTCACCAAAGGCAAGGGAAACAAAAATGAACATGAACTATTGGGACTTCAAATAAAAAGCTTGTGCACAGCAAAGGAAACAATCAACAAAACTAAAAGGCAGCCTACAGAGTTGGAGAAGATATTTGCAAATTACATATCAGATGAGGGTTAGTATCGAAAATCTATAAAGAACTTATCAAACTCAACACCCAGAAACAAATAATCCAGTTAAGAAATGGGCAGAAGACATGAATAGACACTCTTCCAAAGACATACAGATGGTCAACAGACACATGAAAAGATGCCCAGCATCACTCATCATCAGGGAAATAAAAATCAAAACCATGATGAAATACCACCTCACACTTGTCAGAATGGCTAAAATTAACAACACAGGAAATAGCAAGTGTTGGTGAGGATGCGGAAAAAGCAGAACACTTTTACACTGTTGGTGGGAATGCAAACTGGTGCAGCCACTCTGGAAAACAATATGAAGGTTCCTCAAAAAGTTAAAAGCAGAACTACTCTATGACCCAGAAATTGCACTAGTAGATATTTACCCAAAGGATACAAAAATACAGATTGAGGAGGTGCATGAACCCCAATGTTTTTTATGTTTGTTTTATTTTTTAGAGAGAGAGCATGAACATGGAGAGGCAGAGAAAGAGGGAGACAGAATCTGAAGCAGACTCTGCTCTGTGAGAGCAGAGCCCAATATGGGGCTTAAGCCCACAAACTGTAAGATCATGACCTGAGCTGAGGTCAGATGCTAAACCGACTGAGCCACCTAGGTTCCCCTGCACTCCAGTGTTCATAGCATAGCAGCATTATCAACAATAGCCAAACTTTGGAGAGAGCCCAAATGTCCATCAACTTGTCCATATGCAATGGAATATTACTCAGCCATCAAAAAGAATGAAATGTTGCCATTTGCAATGATACAGATGGAGCTAGAATGTATAATGCTAAGTGAAATTAGTCAATCAGAGAAGGACAAATACAATATGGCTTCACTCATTGTGGAATTTAAGAAACAAAGCAGACAAACATACGGGAAGGGAGTAAAAAAAAGAGAAGAGGGGGAAACAAACCACAAGAGACTCTTAATGATAGAGAACAAACTATGGGTTGAGAGAGACAGGTGGATGGGAGATGGGTGATGGGTACTAAGGAGAGCACTTGTTTTTATGAGCAGCGGGGTTGTACATAAGTGACAAATCACTGAATTCTACTGAAGCCAATATTGCACTGTATGTTAACTAAAATTTAAGTTTAAAGAAAAGAAAAGAAAAAACAGGGGTCAAAAGCAGAACCGAGAATCTAGAAATAGGTTCATGCAAAAATTAAACTTTAAGTAAGAAAGGAAAGAAACAGAAAAGAAACTGTTAATAATAGGACATGTAAGTGATTTGGGAGAAAATTTTGATACTTGTCACACAGCTAGGTCACTTTTTTCCTGGATTATTATATAAAATATGAAGCATTGACATGGCAAGGAGACACTAGCCACAGAGTTAAAGCCAAATGCTGGCTTGGAAAAATTTACAAAATTTACAAAATTTCTATACCCTAATACATAATTTCACAGTGAATGGACAAATAGAGAAATATAAATGGCAAATATGACCACACATACATGCTTAAGAACTTTATTTATTAACTAAATGTGAATTAACAATAGTTTAGCGTGTGAGAAGAGATTAAAAAACCTGAGAAGCTAGTCTGGCCAGAATTTCAGAAAATGCACATTTTCATCCATGATAGGTGAGAGCAAAACTGGTACAATATTTCTTAAAAACAAAATATTTCTGAAAATGTAAATGCTGCATAAGTTTGACCCATCTGATTTCATTGCTACCAATTTAAGAAATCAGATAATTGTGCAAAGGTGAGTGTACAACAATGTTCATTGTGCCATTAATAACATTAGTCAAGTAAAAATTTAACATTATCTAAAAGTCCATCAGTAAATGAATTTTCAAATATAGTATGGAGGAAACATACAAGGAAATAAATTGAAGCCACTAAGGAATAAAAGAGATCTGAGTGGACAAGAAACTGCTCTCACAAAAATATGTGTAATACATGTAATATAAGTATATTAAGTGTGTGTTTACATATATATCAGTACACATACATTCAATTGTAAGCAAAATTTATATAAGCATGTATAAAAGTATATTTGTAGCCTTCAACAAGCCCATTTCCAAAATTTCACACTCTTAATCTAACATAATAACAGACTGTTTCATTTTGCATTTTTGTACAAAGTTCAAAGCTTATTAGCCCATGAGGCCTTTAATAATCTTAACACATAAATCATGTACATAAGTATAAGTAGTGGAATCCGTTTCCTAATTTAACTTCAAGTTTCTAAAAGAAATTTCCATATCAAATTATTCTTAACCTTATTATTAGTGGAAAATGCCACTAATGGATTTTAAACACTATATATAAAAATAGAGAAACTATTACATACCCCATGTCCACTGCAATTTTTTACTGAGTCACAATTTGTTTTTACTGGGTTCTCACTTCTTTCTCTACAGAATCCTTTATAACAATACTGAAATGTTAAAACGACCAACAGAAAATATTTAAAATCAAGAGTTGAGCAATTGTACTTGATACAGAAATTAGATGCAGAAGATAGATACAGATACACATGCACACACACACAGCATGCACGCACACACCACTCTGGATTTCATGACATCTACTTCTTCTAATAAAAGAAGCTGGGAGTCCAAATGGCATATAATTACTACACATAAAATTTTGAGAATGAGATTCTATTTTCCCCATGAGGGAGCACAGCTGTGAGTTTATTGATACTAATTGGTGTAAGAACAAAAACAGCCAATTTGTACTATTTGTAATGAGCTAGGATCTGGCATTTCTATGCATTTTAATAGTATATACTCAGATTGACCCCGTGAAAGAGATGTTTTTATCCTCATTTAAAATGTTTACTTATTTATTTTTGAAAGAGAGAGCACAAGCGGGGTAGGGGCACAGAGAGAGAGAGAGACACAGAATCTGAAGCAGGCTCCAGGCTCCGAGAGCATAGAGCCTGATGCCAGGCTGGAACCCACAAACCGTGAGATCATGACCTGAGCTGAAGTTGGATGCTTAACCAACTGAGTCAACCAGGGGCCCCATCCTCATTTTATATTTGAAAAAATAAATGTGCTGTTTTGGGGACATGCATAAGTTACTGATAGAGCCAATACTCAGTGCAGGAACTACTTTAGTCACAGAGCCTCATATTGATCAATGCTAAATATCAGTGTTCTTATAATTTTTATATTTATTTTCAACTTTAATGACAATATCTCTTGTCTTTTACATTCGCACCGTGTTCTAGAGAAAGTTACTTAATCCCTCCGTGCTTTAGCTTTTCCAACTTTGAATTTGGAACAGCAATTGATAACCCAAATTTATTCAAATGTAGGTTATAAGGATGAAATAATTTGTTGGACACACATAGTAAATGCTCACTAAACACAAGATACTTTTTAAATTATTTGTTTATTTACCTCATTTGCATGTGGACTTTAAGTGCTTATTCCTCTATCCAAATTTTAATTTAATTTTAATATCTTTAGGGAAGTCAGTAAAAATTATCTGTCAGCTTTTCTCAGGTTATCTGATAGAATATACATTGTATGATGAATAGTCTTAAAAATCATTATTTTCTATCACCATTAACCAATCATAAAGGATAGAATATCAGTTGTTCAGTAACTGGAAGTGCTCTGATGAAGCCAGCAAGAATAACAAAATTTTGTACAAACCAGCATTACCTGTGCACAAAATCATTTTCATTCTAGTGCTCCTTAAACATTGCCATTGAGGCAATATTAACTAGTCATATTTCATTGGGTTGTCTTTAGGGGGAAAAGTCAGGAAAAGTTAAGACCCATGCTTCTGATACAATTTCCTTCAAGTAACAGATCAATTTGCAGCTGGCTCTTTTGTCATGACAGCAAAAACAAGAGACGCTACAAAAGTAGCTAGGCCTGGGCAATGGTTGAGATGATGTTTTGAATATAAACTAATATATAAGACTTCCTTCTTTGAACAAGAGACACAAACAGTGTCCCAGAAGCAGCCATACCATGTTTCAAAGAAAAGAAAAAACAATATAAGAAAATACATATTTCCTAAAGAGAAATGCCTGGATTATATAAGCATATCTTTGTAGAGTCCCAGGTAAGAAAAAGGGAGTTAATTTTAATCATCAATTCATTGATTAGCTTATCTAGTTTTGGACATTTAAATGTCCCAAACATATCCCTTTTCAAGTTTGAAATGAATGTGCTGAGATATGTTCATCTTCCCTGGCCTATGTACGTGAACTAGAATCACTTCTCCTGTTCTAAGCCTTATAAATAAAAAAATCAGAAGGCTTTCTGTCATATCCAATATTAAGCAAACTTACATTGCTGGAATATGCCTATCTCCATGCAGTATACTCTTCACCCAGTATATAACAGTATTCAATATATGAGTGTTTTATTTAAAATTTCATTATGATTAATAAGGAAGATGTACTTTTCTTCCAGATGTACTTTCTATTAGATGTTAATAAATAAAGACTCCCTCCTCTCCCTCTTTCTTTTTATCTATCAAGATAATTTTTACAAAGGACCCACATTTACTGAGAGTAAGATAAAGAAGTCTTTCCTTTCCAACCACTCTGAAATCAACTGAACAAGGAAAAGTAACACATAAAATAAAGTATATCTTGGATGAATTTTTAAAATAACCACAGAAAAACTCCACATCAAATTCACTCACAACAGCTCCCCTTTTCCTAATTAATGTGAGTAAAGGAGTATCAGAAAGAGGCAATTTGAAGATAAAAGATTTAAGAACTTCCTGGGATTTTGAAATAAAATGAAGGCCCTGGTGGATAAAATGAGGCGAGGAAGCAACATCATCAAATACAATGGTAAAGGAGAGACCCTGGTTGATCAACCTTGAATGCTCTGGAGGAACTGCAGCCTGAGTAAGAAGGAAAAGCAGAGGAAGAAGAGTCAAAAAGGCAGGTAGGGAAGGGTGGCTAAAATGCAGAATTATCAATGGAAATCTGTCCTCAAAACCACAGAAGTAGTTAGCTTTCATATTCACTACTCACCTCTCCTTTCTCTCAGTTACAAAATTTAGTCGACACAACACTTTTATCCCAAAGGAGAAAGTTTAGAAAGGTATTTTGTTTTCTAAAGCAACTGAATTAATGGTGACTACAGAATTGGGGCTTTTCAAATGGTTTGTCCTCTAGAAGAGGGCCATCCAATGCAGTATCATGGCCTAAAAGCCAGTTTCCACAATGAAGACTGTCATGTGACAAACCCCTGTCACATGGAAAAGGCTGCCAGTTAGTTTTTTTTTTTTTTTTTTTTTTTTTTTAGCAATAGTGTGAGAGTAAAAAGTCATGCCAGTTTAAAGCTCCTACTGAACCAAATAGGGAGAAACTTTCTTCCTCCCTCACTTCCCCCCTTCCCTTCACTTCCGTTTCTTCCATTTCCTTCCTCCCTCACTCCTTTCTTTGTTTTCCCCACATGGGGACATTGGCCAGTTGGGCATAGGCTAATGATCAGACTTTCCCAGGAGACAATCACTGCTGGAGAGATGAGTGAATTGATCTGTAAAGCTTTAAGCAGTCATACGGCTGGTGGGACAAATCAGCACAGTAATCTGTGGCATTTGTATATCTAGTTCCCATATGGTCTCATTTCAGTTCTTGTCATTGTAATTGTATTTTCCCTGAAGGTAAGATGTTGTTTCACTCTCACTACTTTTAAGATTCTTTGTCTTAATTTTCATAAATTTAATTATGCTGTATCCAACTGTGAATTTTACTAGGTTCATCCTATATGACATTCTTTCAGCTTCTTGCATTTTTAGGCTTATGCCTTTTTGGCAAATCTGGAAACTTTCCAGGCATTATTTCCTCATATACTTTTCCATTGTTAAATTCTTTCTCTTATTCTTCTAGAATGACAATATCATGGATATTATATCTTTTGCTATAATCTCACACATCCCTGAGGCTCTATTCATTGTTTTTCAGTGTACTTTCTGTTATTCAGATTGGGTATTTTCTATGGTTCTATCCTCAGCTTTACTGATTCTTTACCCTGCCACCTTCATTCTGCTCCTGAGCCCATCACCGAGTTTTATAAATTATTATTTTTTAAGTTTATTTATTTATTTTGAGAGAGACAGAAATATTTATTTGTGAGTGGGGGAGGGACAGATAGAGAGGGAGAGAGAGAGAATCCCAAGCAGGCTCTGCTCTGTCAGCACAGTTCAATGCGGGGCTCAAACTAACAAAACTGTGAGATCATGACCTGAGCTGAAACCAAGAGTCATATACTTAACCAACTGAGCCACCCATGTGCCCCTATAATTTTTTTTTTTATTTCTAAAATTTCCAGTTGGTTCTTTTTTATATCTTCTCTGTGTGTGCTGGAACTTTCTATCGTTCCATTAGTAGTTTCAAGAGCATGTTTGTAATTGCTCTTGAAATACGCTAATGATGGCTGCTTTACATTCTTTAAAGTATATTGGTGTAATCTTGGTGTTATGATGTTAGTGTTTTTTTCTCTTTCAAATTGAGATTTTCTCGGTTCTTGGTATTAAGACTGATTTTTTATTGAAACCTAGATATTTTGAATATTATGCGATTCTGAATCCTGTTTAAACCTGTTTTAGCAGTTCTCTGTTAGAGTTCTAGACAAGGGACAAGAGATATCACCTGAGATGAGAGGGCCTCCTAATTACTACAAGGGTCAGGGAAAGACAGACACCAGTAGGCTTCTGCTCATACCACCCTGGTTAGAGTGAAGGTATGACCACAATTCTTTCTATGTTGTGTGGTTGAAGTAGAGCAGTTATTATTTAAAAGTATACTGTTTTCTTGACTGCCCCTTTGGATAAAGAAGTCAGGCTTTCCTTGATGACTCTTTTTTGTCAGTTCCATTTGGCACTTCCGAGTTGCTAGCTTTTCTGACACCCAGGTTGCGATATATGAGGCAAAAATGAAAGGAAACTCACTGCTGTGTTGTTCCTTGGGTTCCAAAGTCCCTACCTAGTCTTGCCTTTCTCTCTTCAGCTTTCACAGTATTATGTTAGCTTTACATATAAAACTGTTTTTAACTGTACACAATAGAAAAGTATGTATAATACATCATTCTGGAACCCCAAATCTCTACCTGTAATTTTTAATCATCACATAATACATTTATCAATATTTTCCTTTATATTTAACTCATTTTGTAGCATTTAAGAAATCTTTGAGTATATCAGACCCTAAGCTTTCTCTGAGGTATTTATTAAAACATTTTGATCTGCAGTTCCTCTGAAATAATATTTTCTATTTTAGTCTAGAAGTCAGTTTATCATCATACCAATATTGCAATGCTTTAATTGTTTTAACTTTACAATAAATCTTGATATTTGGTAGTATGAATTTCCAGTTTCCATTTTCTTCTTTAAAATTACGTTGATTCCGATTTTGTGTCTCCCTCTCTCTCTGCCCCTCCCCCGTTCATGCTC